CAAAGTTGTTTTTTTAAATGGGATTATATATTTTTTATTGTATCAATAGATGCAGCTTGGCATTCTCTATAAAAAAGTACTAAACCATATATAGCAAAAAATTTATAGTTTAAAAAATAATTAAATTCAATCAAATATCTTCTAAACTAATGATTTATCGTTATAAATAGCTTAATACTTTTTTACAGAGATTACCAAATTGCATTTATTGGTGCATTAAAAAATATATGATTCCATTTGGAAAAACAACGTTGATTCTCATAAGTTCTTTACGAAACTTATCACTTACGAAAAAATTACTAATATCAGAATGTCCCTTTTTCGAAATCGTTCAACTTTTATTTGAAACATTTTTTAATATTATCAAAAATAAACGAGATATTCGAGATAATGAAATTAGCTGATTCTCTTTGTATATGTATATTTTTATATCTTTGTATATATATATTTTATATGAGATAAAAATATATGCATAGAAGAAATAATTAATCACACGAGTCTTATGTCAAAGACAAGTGACTGTGGTTACATTTAATTACAATCCCTTTTGGGAATCCATATAACATCACACGTGACGCGAGAATGACGAAAGTGCATTGGATGGTAGCTTCATTTTCTATATCTGGTGCACGTTATATATCGGTGCTCCATTGTCGAGGAGTGGAATCGATCCACGCGATTTCGGAGAGAAATGGTTCGTTAAGCCGACGCGAGTAAAATGTTATTAAGCGGGGAGGAACGGTGTTCTTTTCGAACGATGAGACATATTCTCAGCCGGACGAAACTTACTTTATCGATATATTTCGTTCTTTCCAGAAATAAATTTCGCGAGAGAACGAAGAAAGAATAGTACATTTAAATTTCTTCGAAGAAGAGTTCGCTTTGTTCCGTCGTTCTTTTCCCATCCTTTTTTTTTTTCATTTCTGTCTTTTTCTTCCTCTTCTTTTTCCTTTCTTCTTTCTCCTTTTCTTTTAACGTACTCGAAACGAAAAATTTATTCTTTAATCCCGTTGATTTGTTTCATCGGATCTAAATCAACCGAAGGAAAGGAAGAAAGATTTATCTCTTTGTTTCGAGCCATTATTCATTTTTCGAAGAAATTTACAGTCACGCACGGCGAATTACGCGAGAAAGAAATCGTTTCGGATGCGGGGCAGCGACGTCGAGCATTTTCAATAATATCTCGTCACGGTGTCTAGGAAAAATGGCCGAAACGCGTGAACGGATGCGCGCGTATCTTGCCGCGTTCTTATCGATTCGCTACAAGTAAATCTTTTGAAACCAGTTTTCGAAACGGAGAAGATAGCTAACGAAACGATTCGATGCATAGAAATTCGTAGGTTTTATAAAAGCGAAACCTCCGATACGATGAATCAACGTGTTAATCGCACAAAACGCGAAAATGAAACGGAATAGATGGTTATTAATCTACCGATGCTGTGCCGAATGGAAGATATAGAAACGGAACGAGACTATAATAAGTTTATAGTTAACAGGATTGTTTTTATTGACAGTTAACGAAATAGCACGGTCGGAGTATGGTTTTTTGCCAACGTTTTAAACGAGTAAAGAACCCACTTGAAAGAGAGCAGCAAGTGGCTTTAAAATATCCATAAAATCTTCGTCAGTCTTTTTCTTTGAAATTCTTTTTGAATTCCACTTCAATATTTTTTTTTAATTTCTCGTGGGATAGATTTATATTGGATATCACGTAGAAAAGAAAAAAATCACGCGAGTACTATATCTGATCTGATGAAAGAGGAGAGAGAAAAAAAAGAAATAAGAAAGAATTCCATTTAAGAGATTATTCGTTTCGACAAGGATCGCTGTAAGCTTTCTATTTTATCAAGTAAGAATTTTTTTTATATGGAAAATATTCTTTCAGCACGAAAGAATCGCGGATAAAAAAATTTATCGGATAACTTAACATTTCTCTCGTATTGAGCGAAAAAGGATACGTTTCGTAATCTGAAAGAAATCGAATAAAATTTGAAAAAGAAAAATATACGATAAAAAAGAGAAGAAAAAAAAAATAGAAAAGTTAACGCTTTTTCCATCCCGTTTCCCCTCAATTATCTTCGTCTATTCTTGATTTATCGTTGATAAAAAAGATATCGATCCATCTTTGAAAAGTCGGGGGATCGCGTGGCAAAGCGATTTCTTTTTTTTTTTTTTTTTTTTTTTTTTTTTTTTTTAAATCGATCGATCGAAAAGACGAGAAGGAAGAAACCGCGTTGCTCCGTTTCGAATAATAGAATCGAGAGTTCTCGCGCGATTTACGACGCCGTTTATTTTCGTAAATGTAGTCACTCCGCTCTTAAGAAACGAAGAAACGTCGCGTCATCTCGATGCTTCTCCAGCTTTTATTGTTTTTAATCGAGCGAACTAAGAGCAAACTCTCGCCTTTCTCTACGCCGTTCGAAATTGCAGATTTTATTTTAGCGCGCGGTCGAGTGAAAGCTTGCGATCGAAACATTGCGCGGCGAATATCGCGTAAAAAATTTTCGAATTTTATAATCTCCTTTCCCTTCAAAGAAATAGTTATCCAATGCATTTCGCGAATTTACGAGGACTCGAAATTTTTGTTTACGTTTTCAAAAACATTACGCAATTATATCGTCAAAGTATAAATAAATTATATTCTCAAAATTCGATTCTCTCTAATTCTTTTAAGCGTAAAATATCATACGATCGAATTGGTCATTCGCTTAATAATTATTTCGATAAAAACGTGCGTCTTTCTCTTCGATGTTACATCATCTTTGAGCCAAGATTACGATCACTGCTGATTCTAAATATACCATTGCATATATATATATATATCTTTTGTTTCTTCGTTACATTCCGAAACGAACAATAGAAGTATACAATTTGAAAGATTAAACTAATATAATTAGCCAATTAATTCGTAATTCTTCTTTCTCGTTTCTCCGTTTCAAGATCGATCGAGAAAATCAATGCTCTTAAATTTCACTTAATCGTTACGTATATCAACACCGTGAAATTTATTCCAAATTTGATACGATTTGTCGTACGAAATAATGCGTGTATACGATGATTAATTGAAAAAAATAAAATTTCACGTTGCGTTCACGGCGTATACGAGGCGATACCTTCGTATTAATCTTTCAAAGGATACTTATTAATTCTCGTAATACCGTATCAATCTATCAAATTCAATTACAATTACGCGAATTCGATCTCCTTCTCGGCTATTAAATCGTTACGTAACGCGTTCGAATGCATCGTTGAAATAAATTATGTTACATACGATCGAAGCTGGGATTAAAATTCGCTTTAATCTTAATCTCGACGCGATCGCGAACTCGAACGTGGTCGAACGAGTTTAAGAGGAAATTGTATTATATCGCAACGGTAATAAAAAGTTTGGGTTAAAAAATGGTTAAGAGATAGGATTTATTGGAGAAAGGAGAGATGGAGCGCGATACAAATCCGACAGAGTTTGCTTTCGACCTTTGTTCGGTATTAGACGCATACGGTTACGAAGCGTTAACAAGCGTGTCAACATTTCTGGACGATCTGCCACGTACGACCGATCGTGTATTCGTGTACAATTTCGTGTATCAAAGGTTAGTTGTGTAATCGGTGAAGATGACGTTGAATTTCGGCTGTTTCGAATATTATTAATCGAAATAAACGATCGTGATACAAAAATAAATATCGTAGTAATCGATATTGTATTCGTAGGGAGGGGAGGGGGGTGAGGAGGGGGGGGGGGGCGAAAACGGATCCAAAAATGTAGTACAAAGTTCTGTTTTGATAAAACACTTATCGCGATAAAATGGTGTGTCGCGTGAAATATAGAGAACGGAAAACTGATTATTTTACTTCTAATCTCCTAGATATCGCGCTACATTTTAGATCGATCCACTTGGAATCGATCCCACAATGGTCAAATCCCTCCGAATTCCTCGTTTCGTTTTATATATATATATATAAAGGTATTTTCATCGACGTTGAAAAATCACTTTATTAACTTTTGAAACGAAAAAGGGGAATGGAAAGAGGGGGGGGATACGTTCTCGATTGTTCGAAATTTCTTCGAAACGAAAGAAATAATCGCGAAACGAGAGGAAATTCGATGAAACGATGAAAAGAACAATTGAATGGATGAAAAACGAGGTTGAACGAAAGGAAAGCAGGATTATCCACGGTAGACAGGCAAGAAATCAATGTAAAATTCGACGCATGCGTTGAAATTTTTATTTCACTTAAATGATACGCGAGTAAATACCTTATCGATCGACTGGTTCAAGAATAACGCGGAGAGAGAAGCTAGACTCTGGCAATACGTAGCACGATAATTTCAATTTCATCGTGAAATTATTCTCACCGACTTTTCAGCGGAAATTTCTCTCTCTCTCTCTCTCTCTCTCTCTCTCTCTCTCTCTCTCTCTCTCTCTCTCTCTCTCTCTCTCCCCCTCTCCCCCTCTCTCTCTCTTTCCGGAAAATCAACGAGATTGACGAGAGGATAAAAGGGAGAAAAACGAACGACGAGACCGATTACGAAGAAAATTTTCTATAGAGAATGAAGAAGAAACGAAATGTTCTCGCGTTCTTTCAAATTTGCCATATTCAGACGTGTAATTTACATCAAATCGAACGAACGAACGCTTGCGACACAACACGGGGGAACCGTGTTCCGCTTCGTTTTCTCGCATTATTGTAAGGATAAAAAAAGGATAAAAAAAAAAAAAGCCGCACTTTGTGCGCCTTCCTTTCTTTTCTTTCTCCTTTTTTCCACGGAACAACGGATACAAAAATAAATCGTATTATTATCATCCGAGAATTGATCGAATTATAACGATTATTAGAAATTAAAAATTGGAAATAAAATTGTTTCGTTAAAAAACGAAGGAATAGTTGCATCGATGAGAATTATCATTATTATTATTATTATTATTTTTTTTTTTTCATAACGCGCATAATCAACTACTCTCTGCTATTCGACGCTATTTTCCGTTATTATTTGACGCTACCCTCTTTCGTTGATTTAACAATGATTCGCTTCCGTTTCTTTCAGATTTCGTTGTAGGTTGGTAGGATCGGGAAGGAACAAATTGCAACATTATCCTCGGTGATGTAACAAATGTTGTGGTAACATTTTGCTTGTTAAACCATTGGGTGTTAATGTGTTGTGTCTGGAAAAATTGTAGGAAGGTTATTTTCAAATCAAGATTTATCCATTTAATCTATTTTTTCTTTTTTTTTTTTTACGCGTTTTCGTTTTTATATTTTGATAATAATAAAAGGATTAAAAAAAAAAAAAAAAAAAAAAGAACGAATTACGTTTTATATATCAAATGTTAAACGAATAAAAGGAGATAAAGTGTTTAACGGGGAAAGGATGGAAATATTTCTAAACACGTTACATCGTTGTAAAATATAATGGAAAAGGGATTGGGCAATTTTCTTTCTCGAAGAAAAAGCGAAGGAAAGGCTGGATTACGTACGACGGTGGATGTCGTAAAAAAATGACACGTTGTTCGATCGGATCTCGAAGGACTCGCGCCGTTGAGTTTATCGATCAACCATTTGAAAGGCAGAAACGATGGAGAGAGATCTGTCTTCTTACCTGGTCGACGGTTCTCTGAAGGATCTGGCATTTGTCAGTCTTGCCAGAGCTCATGTCCGTGGCGGAAATCAGCTCGGCAAGCTCATCGATAAACAGGTTCTCCTGGTTCCGTCGTCTTTTTTCGTTAAGGCACTTGTTACTGTAAACAATCAAAATGAAACGGATCATTCGATCGTTCGATCCTTCTTATTCCTTATTCTTATATACGTAACTTTCTTCCTCAAAAATTCCAATTTTTCTTCTCTTTTTTTCATTTAATCGAACGTATCAAACCATTATTCCACGTTAAAATCGAAAATCCGTTTAATTAATCGACGAAACGAAACGATTGATCAACGATTAATATTGATTAACGAAGATAGACAGTGATATCTTGCACGTTTTTCAAGCACGAGAGATATTCGTTCGAATTTTTTTATTTAAAAGGAATAGAGATCGCATTTGTAATAAACGAATATGGAAAACGATATTAAAGTAATTAAATTAAAAATTTGTGCTATAAACTTTGTACTGTTTTATTCACTGGAGAATAATCAAGTATTTAACAATAAAACGAGAAAGAGGAATGGAAAGAAGAAAGAAGAAAAAAATATTTTTTCGAAATATTTTAATCGCAATCGCTACTTTTTCCATAATTGAACGATACGACGTAACTTTTTGACCCGTTTTCAAAGTTTTACGGGAAGTTTAAAATTCTCGACGGTATTGAACACCATAAAAGATTTTTACAAAATCACTTTCTATCTTTCTAGAAATAGCTAGAAAGCTAGCTAAGAAATATTTTTTTTTTTTTTTTTTTAATTAACTATTCTTAATACATTCATGGATAACGAGGAGAAAAAAGAAGAAAAATACGAATACGAGATTAATCGTTTGATTCTAAACGATACAAAATATTGGAATAACCGGAATTTAAGTTTTACATTTTAATATTCGGATAAATTGCCTCTAGCATTGATTACTATGTTCTACACGGGAGGCTTCCTGTGCGCTTAATTGCCATTTCCCACAAGTGGATATATTGTCATTCCAATGGTGATTTATTCTTCCGATTAAGCCTGCTCTATTTGTCGTATTATCTTCGATTACTACTCCGTCTATTTTACACTGCCTATTTTATCTTTAAAAAAAAAAATATTACAAAGAGTACGGTAAAATTCTTTCTCAACTTGAATAAAATATTAAAAGCGAACAATTTTTATTTTCAAAGATCGAAAGAAGAAAAAAAAAAATCAATCTTATCTCTCCAAATTCGCCGTAATTCGAACCATCGACTCGACGACTCTTCTATTCGCTATACACTCCATCGGCAAAGTTCGCGAAATTTTACAGATTAAATCTTCGGGAGGATAAACTGGCAAACTACGATCGAGAAAGAAATGTTTCAAAGAATAATGTACTCGAAAATATATTCGAAAAGAAGCGCGTCAACTTGGGGGAAAAAACACGCGAAAGAAAATTAGGACACGGAGGATCGCATCGCATCGCATTCCGGAAATCATTTCCCCCTCGAACGGATCTCGACTCGAGTCTCGTTCGCTCGGCCAATTTCATAGAAAGAAAATTGCTAGATGCTGAATCAACTCTTCAGTCCCGTTGAAACGTTCGGTTGACCTTGGTTGACGTCACGTCGCCGAACAGTGACTCTCACTTTGCCAAAGGCCGCATTTTCATGCGAATCCAGTTGCCTGATCGGATTCTCGCCATCTCTCGAGTTTTCTACAGGGATTCTCCCCCTCTCTTTCTTTCTTTCTTTCTCTCTGGTTCTCTCTTTCTCTCTCTCCTCTTCATCGGTTCTTTCTTTCTTTTTTTTTTTTTTTTTTTTGATTTTTTAAAGAAAAATCGAAACGTAATCACGCGCAATCAGAAATCGTAGATAGCGAACTCGCAATATAATACGAAATTCCAGTCGTCAGTCGGGGGATCTGGTTGTCGCCAGAATTGATTCAGATAACGTTTGATAAGCCGACAGATTTTTTTTTACGAACAAATTCGGGGCCATCGATAAATTAATTCCGAGACGATGACGAAGAAATCGATTAAAAACTATTCGCTCCTAGCACGGATGATGGATGATTCTTGCACGTTTTTGCACGCGAACGTAATCGATTCGTCGAATCCGAACGAATGGTTCGAGGAAAATTGATACATCGATGTATTTCCACGTTCGACATTGACGCATTCGAAAATTTATACGATTGTTGACCATCCGTGTTGTTTTTTATTAGGTTGCAGGTGGACAAATTCTTCGGATTCGTAATTATAAAACGTAGAATTACGTAGAATTCGGTTTTAACGATACGAAACAGCAATTGATTGATTAAAAAATCACGATCACGATGTGTATTCGACTAGCTTCAGTCTTTAAATTGACGTTTTATTAAATATTATTTTACACGAAAAGTTTAACCCTTAAATTCCGAATAATTTTTACACGTTTGTGAAACCACGAACCGATTTTATATACGATTAGCCGATAAGCCGATAATAATATTTCCATCGTGAATTTGTGAAAATGATAATAATTCGTTCGATTCGATTGCTATGATTCGAATAGATAAGTGGTTATATAGATTTATATTCTCTGTCTTGTTCGTTAAAATGATATTTTTCCTTTATTATATCGTGAAACACAATATGCCTTGACTTATTCATATAATAATAGGAAACACGCATTTATAAAAAGCGCGCATTTTTTTTTTTTTCCAAATGAAATTGATATAAAAACGTGAACGAGAGAATAGTATCTCTTCTTGTACGTTTAAATATGCAGAAAAAAAAAAAAAAAAAAAAAAAATCTATTTTCGAATAATGAAAAATTTCAAAACGTTTTTAACAGTTGTTTTTTAGTTGGTCGCTGAATTAATTGGAATTCGCTTTTTGCTCTTGGCAACAATCCTTTTCATTCGACGTTTTCGTTTCAATATATTTTAACGCGTAATTGCCTACTAAGCAATTTTGCGCTAACTATGAACAGGGGGAAAAAAACGGACGGAAACAAAATATAAATAAACAATTTACACGTATATCGAAAATTAATTTTCTTTACGGATAAATAACTTCGTTCGTTGATGAATAAAGCTACCTTCCAATCGTTCAGAAATGGTAAAAGATTCTTTCTCCGTGGATGCATTTTAATTTATATATCGTAAAACGCAATTACCATTTTCCTCTTCCACCATGCTTAATATTAATCATTTATTTTTACTCAATTTTTAGAACTTGCCCACGATTTAATCAACTTAAGAAAGATATAATCTTTTTTAAACTTCGATACCGTATTTCGATTTCTGGATCTTTTGAGAAACGGCAGCGTATATACAAGCATGATTTGATCGAAGCACGATTTCAAAAATGACGATTCCCAAAAATATAGATAAATCGTTATTAAAAATTATCTCTAAAATTAATCGTTATTTGAAATAAATATCTCCAAATAATAATATCAAACGTGTAAGACTCGTGTACAGATTCGTTATTTCTCGTTTTTCTGGACGTTTCGTTGTAACAAAAATAATTGTTATCATTTTTTTTTCTCGGCTCCCCCAAAATGATTAATCGAAATACATCGTTACGTTACGAAAAGAATTTTTCAATGATTCAATTCTTCTTTCATCGAAGCAAGCAGCGAAGCAGCCGAGCTGTTATCGGTTCGAAAACTAACCACTGGTTCGACACTGACACGAGCAGCGGATACGCATGATTTAACTTCCCGACGAACTAGATAGGTATCAAATTAAAATGGACCCATGCTACATGTTAAACGTTCGCTTTACTTATCGCGTTTAAGTCCGATAATTACGGCCGCTTTTTACGCATATAACACGGTCGATGAATATGCAAAGGACTCGAGTCCAATAAAACACGGAAGTATACGCGCTCGTTTATAACCATTATTACGCGAATTTAACTATGATTGATTGAACGTAAGTTGGGATTCTCGTTGATTTCTTAGGATATACGAATAACGATGACGAAATAGAGTTTACGATAATAGAGTTTACGATGACGAAAGAGGAAAGAAAAATATTTTTCGAAGGGAAATGCGATAGATAATAAAGAAGAGAAAACGTTCGGTTATTTGGGAACAGAGGTTATACCAGAGCCGAATATATTGGCACGGTCCGAGTAATTCGACTATCTCTAACTATCTAGTCTAGTGTACCAACTAGTATAAATACGTCTGTATGAGTCATTAGGTGGTCCGATGATATCGATAGCGGAACATGTTCCTTTCTTTTCTTTTAAAATTCCTCCACCGAATGATCTTCACCGATAATGCAAGCCAACTTCAAATTAGGTACTAATTTCTCATATCGATGTTACGATAAATCGATATATCGGTCGGAATTATATTAAAATTCGATAACGATACTTACATTTGCGACTGAGGCTTGGCATCTGATTTCTTTCTTTTTTTGCTGATGCTGCCAGTAATCGCACTCATTTTGACCCAAAGCGGGTCCTGTAATTCACGCGGGCTAGGCCTGTAACAAAAAGAAGAAAATTTGATCAGATATATATATATATATATATACGTATGTAACGAGAAATCATTTCGAAAGTTTTCATTATTTTTTTCAGACACGCGTAAATCTTTTTAAACTTTTCGACTTATATTAATAAAACGGAGATCCGGCACGAGTTTAAAACACGAGTAACCGGAAATCTCTACTATCTAGATCTAGAAAAATAAGCAATTTCTCGAGAAAAAACGTAATTAAGGGACATGAGAAATTTTTCAAGCTTCGTTCCTTGCGATCGCGTAATTGCCGAATGGGTTGCAATTTTCGCAACGTTTCGCTCGCCACGCTGTATTATTTCTACCCGTAATTTTTTTTTTTTTTTTTTTCGTTTCCTCCTCCTTCCCTTCCTTCCTTTCCTAAAAAAAAAAAAAAAAAAAGTGAACGACGGAACGGTAGAACGCTTTACGCGTTCGTTTATATCGACGCGTGAGACACGTTGCATCGTAATGTATGGCGGGATTCGCGATGCGTATACACGAAGGGACACAGGACAATTATGGTCAAGGATACACGAGCAACCCATCCATAAAACGCCAATTCATCGTCGCGTGCTGCACTTATTTCAATATCTCACCCGGTACATGCCTGATAAATAATTCACCGGGACGTTTCTTCGATTCTTTTTCCATTTTTTTTTTTTTTCCTTTTTTTCCTTTTTCGAATTTGTTTTTAAACCGCGTTGCGTTTGATCCCATTCCAAGATATTCCATCGATGTATAATTTGGGTAAAAGAACTTTTTACTTCGGCCAAAGAACCGCCGATATTTATTTATTACGAACGTAGAGAAAAAGAGAGAATAAAACGAAATATAGAAAATTATCGTTTTTCGATAACCTTGAATCGTTCTTCGTGAATTTCGTGCCGTCGAGTTTAAGATTTTTATAAAAAAAAAAAAAAAAAAAGTGGAGAAAAAATCGGATCGAGTAATTATAAAAATTTTAATATGCGTGATGATGATTCGTTTTTTTTTTGATTCAATGAAACGAAACGATCCGAATCGAGATATTAAAGAGGTAATGGTAAGTAGATAATAACCGAGAGAGCAGTTGCAAAACGAGCAAACGTGTGGCTGATAGAACGCCGATAGATACGCGTTACGCGCTCGATCGAATCCGCGAATCTACCTAAGCAAAATTTTCCTCATAATGCATAGTGATATCGATCAAAATCACGGAGTCGATTCGCCAAGGTTCGATTCTCACGGTTCAACGAATAATCGAATCGAATGTTAATAATTCAGAATTATTTTTGTACCTCGGTGCAAACATGTTTATCGAAAATCGTTACTAACAACGAGTTTTGTCGAATTTTCGCAAAATTAAACGATCGATTTTGAACACGAATCGAGATGTTACGCTTCCACCCATAGACAACTTTGATGCAACTTTAAACAGCATTTTACAATTTTTATTTAAAATAAAAAAAGAAGAAGGAAAAATTAACGATAAATACCTGGTGCCGACAGCATGTTGTCGTAATAACGCCATTTCTTCGAATAAAACGTTTAATAATTTATGTATCTTACGATCGCGGTGAAAAGATATCGAAATAGATAGGTGTGATAAGATAAAAATAAAATATAATTCAATGGAAAGGACATATTTAAACGTGTATAATAATCTGTGAAACGTTACGTCTGCAAATAGCGTTTTCACTTCGTATTCGAGCAAACATTATCGTAAGTCGATCTCTTCGTTTCCAACGATATTAAAAAACAAATAGTTTTTCATCCATTCCTCTCATCCTTTTCACAAATATTTCTTACATTTATCGCGCGTGTTGAATAAAACCGGGAAAAATAAAATATTTCAAGCAAATGGTATTTCAGATCCAACGACGGCTATCTACAAATACAACGATACGCGTGTATACCATTCAATTTAAAGAAACCATTCTTTTCAGGGACGAGATAACGGTCTCTATTTGTCATACGAAAAATCTCTCGAAGAATCGCGAAGAAAAGTATCGAGAAAAATATCGTTTTGATAAGTTTTGGGGAAAAAATCGCGCGTCACTTTTAGATAGATCTCTCCGTTGGAAAATTAAAAGAAGAAAGAGAGAATGAAAAGAAAAAAAAAAACAAATGCATTCGATATTCAAAGTTGAACGAACCAAGTTTTAATCGACATAACGCAAGATTTGAAATTTTGCGCGCATTGTTCGTCGTTTGAATCCGATTCGAGTCAATTGGATATTTGATAGGCACGAAATGTATAATTTTGTACGAATCGAATTCGATTGAATTAACGAGATTGAATTCTTCGCTGTGTTTGGTCCATAAGATAGATAGTTTTTACATTATATCTAACGTAGGGAAATCTACTTAATATTATGTAAATGGATTTCGAATTGACGATAAAATTTAATTAATTAAAATTTCGTTTTAATTTATTCGTTAAAATTGAATAGGTTAATTAAAACTAAGTTTAATTCCCTTCATAAAATCAGAGTTAGCGAATCTATTAATTCTTTAACTCTAAATATTTCAATGACATCGATAAAATCGATAAAATCGATAAAAACATCGATTAAAAACGTATTTTCGATTATAGATTGAATTTCGTTTAAAAAATAAGTTTTATCGATTATTTAAATTACCTACTATAAAAATTTTTTCTTTCGAAAAATTTCTCATCTTTCTAAATCAATAAAAAATCCGCCGTTAAATTTTGTATCTATTAATATCTTTTAAGCCTTTTAATACCTTGTCGTTTAATACTAACACTAACGAATACCAACTCTCAAGAAATCGTCAAGTATTTTCTAGGGGGTGGTCGAGCTTATTTTTAATCAACTATTTTTATAAAAAATATAAATATTACGTTAGAATTATATTCTAAAAAATCTATTTTTAATATGTTTTCCTCCTTTTATTAAAAATATTCTTTTGTAGGGAAACAGGTTATTTAATTGTTATAAAAAGAGCTTTTGAAAAGATTGTAGATTAATTTGTTCCACGATGTTATTTTTTTTTTCTTTGTAAAATTTTTTTTTTTTGATAAAACGATAAAACTCGTTATGACCTATTAAAAATTTCACTGTAAAACGTATTATTTCTAAAAACAATTTAGCAATATTTATATATATATATATATATATATATATATATATATAGAGACAGAGAGAGAGAGAGAGAGATGAATAATAAAAATCGGAATATAAAAAAATAAATTTAGGAGAAAAAAATCATTGAGCGAATAATTTGTCTAATATTAGGGTGAAAGTAGGAGGAGAAGAGTAGAAAAATTGACACGTAAGTGAAAATGAAGCGAAGCCGAGCAACCTCGATTTCGGCAGCCAATCCGCATCCGCGATCTTTCGAAAACGACGGAGCCAGCGACAATTTGACACGGTGCGCGGTCCGAGAAATTCTCGGGTAATTTCTCTCGTAAATATAGCCGGGATGGACGCGAGCGCGTTACAAAGGAGCAAATTAGACACGTGCGTTGATCTCTCGTCAGGCATCTTGACATATTTGCCACTCGACGTCACCTAATCACCTCGGCCACGCTAGCCAACATTTGCAACTAAGTTGCCAAGCCAGAAACTACACCGAGAGGATACCGTTTATACATTGTTTTCAAAACTGGCCAACTTTATCCACGCTATTAATCGTCCGATTTCTGACCTTAACGTCACGGTCCAGCGCACGAAATTGAAAGGAATTCATACCTTCCTTCCTTCCTCTTTTGGTTCCGCGTCCAGGTGACGAAGCGTTTCACGAACGGGAAACCAAATCGATCGGTAATTGTATATAACGCAAATATTATTGCACATCGATAAATCGATTTGTATACATCAATAACGATAGCCTTTTCCTTTTCCTTTTCCTTTTTCCCTTTTTGGGATTGAGTACAATTTCTTCTTATCGCTCTCTGCATCAAGATAAAGCGGTTGATTCGAAAAAATGTTCCACGACATCGAAGACTTATTACCTATCGCATTACCATAAAGCGGATAATTTTAGAAAATCGCTTCGTGCTTGCCAAGACGAAAATGTAACGAAATGTAAGAGGACTCGAAGTAACTGTATACACGGTATACGTAATATACAAAGATTTATAAGACGGCGAGCAAAACATCACGCTTGGTCGTAGATGCGTGTACGATCCGGATTGAAAAATTCCGTAACTGCATCACGTTTTTCACGAAATGACGTTCCCGCGTATCGTGTTTGTATTTAATGAGACAATAACGCGTTTTCATGACGTTCGTATCGTTATCACGCTTGTTTTATTAACGGATCGTCTGTCGTTTCGTGTGCAATGAAACTACTATGCGGTGTAAACGTGCGCGTTGCGAGCGTTATATATGAGCGATCGTGTACTTACACGTTCTTCGACGGACCGAGATTCCGCGAATTAGCCTCGAATAAACGAACGAAAAATTATTCCCGTCCACCAAGCATGGCGATCGTTTTGTCATTCTCGTTTGAAAGAATTTTTTACAATTTCTCGTTTCTTCGAATAAAAAGAACGTCCGAATTTCACGATCGTGTGGAAGATTAATTATTTTTTGAACAAATCGTGGAAATCGTGAAAATCGTGGATTTTGATTTCGTACAGGATAGGAACAGCATAATGAAACAAGTGTCGCGTTAATTTTTGCCAAAATGGCTGTCAATCGTTATCATTCATTATCCATTATCCATCCGCCAATCGTTATTAATTATTCATTTACTTATAGCTCCATGTATTTTTAAATTTCAAATTCTTAATAATCTTTTTTCTTATATATATCTTCTTTTTATATCTATACAAGTTTGATCGGTTTTACCGAAAAATCGATTAAAAATGCATTAAAAGAGTCGTTTAAAAACTCGATATTACTAACACACTTTCCTCGGCCCTGATCTTCTTTCTTCGACCGAAAACGAACGCCAATTTACGGCACGTGGACAAGAACCGCGCGTGTCTCGCCTTTTTCCCTCTTCTCCTTTTCCATCCACAATCTCGAAAAT